GCTACATTATCTCTCTAAGTCTATCTATTTGCCCACTCAACGAAAGCAATGTGAAAGAATCTTTTTCCCCTCGGAACGCAAAAGAACAGATTAACCCTAACGACCACGCACAGGAACATACTACTTTTACAAACTCACAGATTAACCTCTGTAATCGCCTCTCCCTCACAGCAGAATAGGAGCTTGTATCGCTTCTGACTATTTTGCAGGATTTCGTGCCATCGGCGGGGAAAGATCAACGGTTCCTACGACATGGTATTTGCTTCTCCACCAAGCATGCATATGGTGTCCTCATGGCTCGGCCTGAGACCGATCTCATGGCTCCTCTCATATGGAGTGCCGAGGTTCCTCGGAAACTCAAAGTATTCGCATGTCTATTCTTTAAAGTCCGTCTCAACACTAGAGTCAACCTTGCACGTAAGCATATAATCGACTCAAACATATGCCCTTGATGTGTTACGACAACCGAAGACTCCAACCACCTCTTCATCACATGTCCTCTTGCCAATAGAATTTGGCAACGGCTGGGGTTCCTACCACATTCCAGCGACGTCACAGGATCTATGGGACGTCTCTACTCCTTCTCACCTCCCGATCACAGCATGGCCTTCGGTCCTCTTGGCTTTGCTTTGGATGACTTGGGCAGCACGTAATGACATGATTTTTAAATCGGTAGACCAAAGCTCTATAATAACCTTGAGGAACCTTATTTCTGCGTTGGACCTCTGGTCTCATCGTCTTGTGAGTTCACAAGACAAGGAAGACGTCTTCTCGTGGCGCTCCTACCTCTATGCACATTGCATCGTGCCTATATAATTCTGTACTCACTGCCACGACAGTCCCTTGAGTAATATATTCAGGTGGGGAAACTCCCCCTCCCCCCGGTGATTCTAAAAAAAATTTACGACCAAAATAGCAGTAGTACTAGTACAACATCAAACACCAACCAACCCCCGAAAGGCTGAAACAAGCAGCAACAGAAAAGGAAAAGGAAGCCTTCCACACCGGGCGCCATGGTGTTCGACGCGGCCTCCGGCAGCGGCGGCGGGTCGCCGATGGCGACGGCGGCACGGAAGGGCCCGCTCCGCGTCTGCGTCCACGACGCTCCTGCTACGACTGCTATTCTCTCCAGTCTGACCGTCTGCGACGCTTCTATTGTTCGCAACGCTATTGCCGACTACGGAGGACGTTAGAGATATATTTGGGACACATGTGCAGTGTAGAATTTATAATCCGTCTCCTACCTTATCTCTAGGAGAGGCCTCTTGCCACCCAAGTTTGTACTCAATATATACTCGCCCTCGAGGCTCAGTAATACAATCCATTATATTACCCAACAATCCCTCTCTTTCCCTTCTAACAATTTCAACGGTAGCAAAAGTCACTAACAGTCAGTGGTTTTGTTTTCATTTTGGCCAAAGGACCAAATTCAATGCAACTGGATTGAGTTCAAACCATTTTCTTAAAAGAAAATCAAAATATAATTTGAGAAATATTTGAATTTATGTGTACTATAAAAAATGCTAAAATATGTTGTCGAAAAGAAGAATATTTCTGTATGTACCGAAATTACTGAATTTAGAGCAACTCCAATGAGGCGACCCATTTCATTCGCTCGCGTCCGTTTGGGTCGGTGCGGACAAAAGTGGCGGCCCAACGCGCCGACCCAAACGGACGCGCGTCCGTTTTTCGTCCGCGGGCGACCCATTCCAGGCCCAATTTTGAGCCAGATTTGCGTCGGCGCGGACATGAGACGGACGCGCGCGCGCCTACTCCTCTCCCCGGGCCCGCCTGTCGGTGGCAGCCACCAACATTCCCCCCATTTTCCCCAAAAATGCTCCCGCCCGTGTGTGCCCCCGCCCCCCAACCAGCCATGGAGGACGCCATCGACCTCGACGCCGCTGTCGGCCTCGCCTCCCTTGCCTCGTCCGGCGCCATCGCCCCCTCCGGGAAAGGCAAGCCTCGTGCCCCGCGCAAGATCGTCGCCGTGACCAAGCCGAAGAAGGCACTGACGCCCGAACAGCGGGTAAGGGAGTCGGCCAAAAGGAAGTGCCGGAGGCACGCCACGGACGCGAGGGACGAGGCCGCCGCGCAGGCCGCCGCCGTCGCCGCCGCGCAACAGGAGTTCACCAACGCCCACGTCGCGGCGGCAACGAGGGAGGCGCTCTACATGCTAGGGGTAAACCCTAGCCAGCACAGCGTCCTTCAAGCCGCCGTCGCCGCGGCCAGCACCGGCTCATCGGCGTTTCCTCGGATGGTGCTGCCCGACTTACCCCGTGCGTCGGTTTGCAACCCGGTCCCCGACTTCCACGTCTACCCGCAGGCCTCCCGCTTCTCCGGGGAGTGCTCACCCGACGTGAGCATGGTCGCGCCTTCCACGCCCGCGCCCGCGCCCATCGACCTCAACGCCACCCCGGTGGTCGGTGGCTCGTCGTCCGGCAGCACGAGGAAACGCGCGCGACAGACGCCGGCCGGCGGGCTCCCGGATGCCCGTAACTTGTTCGAGGAAATGCCGACCGCCGTCGACGAGGACTACATGCAAAACCTCATTTTCGAGGGTGGTGCACCGGGCACTGGCTACGATCCCGACGAGACACAAAGCCAGGACGGCCGCGGGGCGTTCACGCCGGCCGCTGGCTATGATCCCGAGCAGGCGTCCTTCATGCGTGATCAGGTCGGCATCGACCTGGACGACTTCCCCCTCGACCACGAGTTCCCAGAGGACTATGGGCTAGAGGAAGAGGACGAGTGCGACATCGAAGTGGAGCCTTTGTTCGAGGACGAGCTCGCCAACCAAATCGCCGGTCTTAAGCCGAAGCGCAAGAGTAAGCGCACGAAGGCGTACACAGCTGCCGAGGACAAGCTTCTTTGCGAGTGTTGGCGAGACATTGGACAAGACCCAAAGACGGGCGCCGAGCAAAAGCATTCGACCTTTTGGACTCGTGTGCACCGCGAGTTTCATGAGCGCAAGAAGTTTTCACCTTACCAATTTGTGAGCACGCGCGGGTGGGTCTCCATTTCCAAGCGGTGGAGGGTGACCCAACAAGAGTGCAACAAGTTTTGCGCCAGCCTTGAGAGCGTCAAGGCCTGCCCCGTGAGCGGCATCGGCGTGCAAGACATGGTATGATAGCAAGCAAGCCGCCCTCTTTTGTGCCATCAAGATCATTTTTTTACGTCTCCATTTGCTATCACTTGCCCATATGCTTGCATGGAAACATTTTGTAGGCATTTCAAGATTTGGAAGCATTCAAGGTTCAACACAATGGTAAGTGCTTCAACCTCTCCCATTGCTATCGGGTCATCAAGGATGAAGAGAAG